TGCAGAGAAAAAGCGACAGAATTAATTTCACAGAGGAGAAAAAACGCACTTTGAGCTCCCGGCTAATATTGCAGAGGTGGAGAAAAAGCCCGAGAAGCCATCTGTATTCATTTCCTGCCCTTCAAGGAAAGCGAACGCGGCACATCCTTAGGATGATGCCGCTGTGTCCAGTTTGGATCCGGTTCCAAGGCCAGGGCATGAACGTCAGCCATCCTTGCACGCCCTGAGAGAGCAGGATATAGCAGCAGCTCTGTGCCAGCATGTAAAATTATAGTTATCGATCTTTGTAATTAGGTAGCGTGTTCTATTATCAGGCAATGCATTATTCAGGAGGCGCAATGGGACTGAATATTACAGATTGGACCACATTTGTTACACTCCAGCTTTTGCCTTTTTCTGTAACCATTGATCCACTACGCTACTAATCCTTGTGCTACAGCTAAGATGCAAGTCAGGCCTCGCTGTAGATTCTAAAGGCTCCAAACACCACCTGCTCTGCAGAGGGAAAAAGGCCTTAATAAATATTTGTTCCGAAACATACAGGACAAGAGATCCTTGATGTTTAGCGAATGATCGCATGGGTCCTATGCAACCGAGACCTTTTCCAGGTGCAATGACTGGAAAATATCCACACATTGTGTGTGACTACTTGAGCTTCACGTTCAATTGGAATATGCTCTGTGCTCTTTCTGTGCAGTCTTACTATTTGGCTAACCATTAAGTTATATGCAACAGTTTACAAGGGCTGGAATAAGAATGCGACTTCTACACTCTCAATCATATGTACATTAAGCAAGTTACAACATACAGACTGTGGGACACAATGCAATCACTGGGGTGTGATAATAAAGGGGGATACACAAGGGGGTGTGCTGTATGTGAGAGCTAAATGAGTCCAATAAATATGGTGACATTACAGCAAGTGCTGACAATTACCCACGCTTGTCTTAGAGAACCCAGGGTTACGGATGGGATTTCGAATGTGACTTTTATCGCTCTGCCCTGCGAGATCAGGTTGCTCTGGTCATGCGAGATAAATACTGTAAATAAAACGACGGGGACCTGTTGTAGTGCATCACCTCAGAGGTCACTCAGAGGCGCCCTCCGCAGGTGGAACAGAAAGGACCCCAAACCAGCTGAGTGTTTGTTGGTGGGGGGGGAGGTTTATAGGGCCACAAGGCTCGGAGGATTACACTTAAGGAAAGCACATACTGTACGTTAGGTTTTCCCTTGTTTAACGTCAAGATCTTGCCTCGGGAATCCAAACAGAACAATTATCGCCCTACACACAACAAAAATCACCTACTGTGTCTCTGCAGCGAGATATATAGATATATTTATACGTGTGGGCTGTCGATCACTGGAACCACTGCTACTGTACACCGCGACGACTAAAAAGACAAAGACGTCTTTAAATCGATCAAAGAAAATAGTGCTGGATCGTAAAATAATGTATGGATCCCGTTAAAAGCTTGCAGCAACTGAAAACGTGTTACCCGCTCTCGAAGTAAGGACAAGAACTGTCCGCTTTTTTTTTT